AAATCGGCGATTTCGCCCGCTTTGAGCCCTATTTTTGGCTAATTCCATTGTTCCAGTCGCCCAAACTCATAGCTATTTCTTTAGAACTCCATTTTTTCTATCGATTGAGTACAAGAAACTGCCCTTTTACCGATTTCAACTACCTAATAATGTGGTCAGAAATTTGCAATTTGGCCAATTTCACGAAAACTAAAAAATATGACAATTTCAAAATAAGGTCCAGAATGAACAATGCAGACATTCCTGGCTCTAAAATAACATTTTCTTTGCTCATCAGTCGTGTTTCCAGGCCCCTCTGATATTACTCTTGCTTTCTATTTTGAATTTTTATTCAAACAAAAAATTGAAGACTTACTATTATGCAGACTACTGCAATACTGTAATAATTGTATAAATAACATCAACCCATTCATGACTGCATATTAGAATGGCTAGTTGGACATTTACTGGAAAATGGCATCATTTGCTTACTTTTGAACATTGGCAAAAATCAAACATTTCCCCTACTTTGAGCTCCATTTCTAGGTTCTTTTTATAGTAAAATCAATCAAAATCATCTCTATTTCTATAATATGTCTTCAATTCTATCAAATGAGACCAAGAAAACGAGAATACAACCATAAATACTATACGAAAATAGACCACAAAGTCGGCATTTTAATTAAAAAAAATGGTCGGAGTTTTTTTTCTCATTATGCACTGCGTGCTCCAGGATTTTTTTTATATGGTGCACACTGACCACACAGACCCATTCTCTCACATGTAGGCCTACCAGCTTTCTCCTGCTTGATTTGAAGCCGCTAGAATTTATGAGTATATATACGTCAAACACGGTACCTCGTAAGACATATATATACGGCCGTGACAGTCAAAGGGTTAATATATGTTAGTGTAAACTTGTTATCTAGTATTTGTATGCATTTATAAGAGGAAAAAAAGGGCGTTTCACTTTACGGCGATTTCTGCTTTATGGCGGTAGCCTGGAACCTAACCTGCCATATAAGTGGGGCCCTACTGTATGTATCTTGTGTGTGCTCTTGTTTGTTTGCTCTGGTGTCTGCATTTCTGTTTTGGCGTTTGTTTTTTTCTGTGGTGTTTGTTTAGTGTTTGGCATTTTGCTCTAGTGTTTGCTCATGTGTGCTCTGGTGTTTGTTTGCTCTGGCATTTACTTTCTCCAATATTTGCTCTGGTAAGTAAGTTTATTTAGGTACAGTTATACATCAGTACAGTTAAAAAAATATTAGTTATAGGATACTTGTAACCCAAAAATTCAGACCAGGTGGCTTATTAACATAGGGATCCCTGGTGTTTGTTTGCTGTGGTGTTTGTCCTGGTATATTTGCTTTAGTGTTTGTGTGTGTGCTTTGATGTTGTGTTCAAGGACCCCAATGTAAATGCATCACTTTGACTAGGTAATTTGTACTGTATGATAATTGTACAGGAGGGCTCAGCTTTACAGTGTTTTCCTAATGCAGCAATTTTCAATTTTACCCATTCTTTATTTATTCAGACTTCCTAGAGTATATTCACCACTCACTATAAGCTAAGGATGAAACTATTTTAATGTATTTCCCAGTAAAAGTAGGCCTTAGACAAGGATGTGTGATGTCACCATGGTTTTTCAACATATTTATAGATGGGGTTGTAAGAGAAGTGAATGCTCAGGTGTTGGCAAGAGGTGTGGGGTTTAAAGATAAAGAATCTAGCACATTTGCTCTTTGCTGATGACACTGTGCTTTTGGGAGATTCTGAAAAGCTAAAGAGGTTCATGGATGAGTTTGGTAGGGTATGTAAAAGAAGAAAATTAAAAGTGAATATAAGGAAAGAGTAAGGTGATGAGGAAAACAAAAAAAATAGGTAACGAAAGATTGGATATCAGATTGGAAAGAGAGAGAGTATGGAGGAGGTGAATGTATTCAGATATTTAGGAGTGGATGTGTGAGAATATGGGTCTAAGAAAGATGAGGTGAATCGTAGAATTGACAAGGGAAAAAAGGTGAGTGGTGCTCTGAGAAATCTGTCCATGGAAGCAAAGAGAAGAATGTATGAGAGTATAGTTATACCAACGCTCTTATATGGGTGTGAAGCATGGGTGGTAAATGTTGCAACAAGGAGAAGGCTGGAGGCAGTGGAGATTTCGTGTCTGAGGGTAATGTGTGGTGTGAATATAATGCAGAGTATTCATAATTGGAAGATTAGGAGGAAGTGCGAGATTACCAAAACTATTATTCAGAGGGCTGAGGAGGGGTTGTTGAGGTGGTTTGGACATGTAGAGAATATGGAACAAAATAGGATGACTTCGAGAGTGTAAAAATCTGTAGTGGAGGAGTTGGGCTAGGAATGGTTGGAGAGAGGGAGTAAAGGAGATTTTGTGTGTGAGGAGCTTGGCCTTCCAGCAAGCATGTGTGAGCGTGTTAGGAGTGAATGGAGACAAATGGTTTTTAGGACTTGACGTGGTGTTGGAATGTGAGCAGGGTAACGTTTATGAAGGGAGTCAGGGAAACCAGCAGGCCAGACTTGAGTCCTGGAGATTGGAAATACAGTACCTGCACTCTGAAGGAGGGGTGTTAATGTGAAAAAGGCCATTTTCACTTTATAGTTATTTTCTCTTTACAGTGGTAGCCTTGAATCTAATCTGCTCTATAAGCAGGGCCATCCTTTCCTTATGTGTACCTGTACCTAAATAAACTTACCTACATACTTAGTGTGATGGAGGCAAGTGATATGAGAGATTATTGGTGCTGAGAGTAAGAAAGATAATATGTTACTGGGAAGCAGGTAGCCAGTGAAGTAGTGACTGCATTGTAAAAGTTAGGTATGATGGGTTTTGCATCTTTGTGCTTTTATTGCTTACTTGGTGGCAGGAGCTGAAAAACTCTTGAAACTCTTCAAAGACTTTACAAAATTATATCAAAGGCGGCCTCAGCTCATACACTGAAGGACCAGGGTTCAATTCCCAGATCAGTGGAAGCTCTGGACATGGTTCCTTATGCCTGCTGCCCCTGTTCTAGCAGTAAGTAGGCACCTGGAGAGGATAAAAGTACCCTAGTAGAAATAAGTTAAACAGTCTAATGTTATGGCTTTAAAGGGTTACCCAGGGTTTGTAATCCTCTGGGTTAATGAAACAGAATCATCCTACTATTTTATGTTATGTAAAATAAATAAATGTAAATGACAAGCTTATCAGTGTCAAGAGTAAATTTCTGTTGAATGCAGATGACAGTGTTCTGCTGGTCTCAGGCAAAGACCCACTAGATATAGCTAATGTATTTTTGCTGCAGCAAATAGTTAATTGATAACAAACTATTATAGCACTTACAAAAAACAGAACCCATACTATTTTGCACAAAGTATATTAACAAAAAAGGTTAATGCTTTTAATATCCGGTGTGATGGGGAAGCCATCATAACCATATGTTCAGGAAAATATCTGGGTACACCCTTTAATCCATGCATGTCAGGGGAAATGATAGTGAGCATTGTTGTTAAAAGGCCAATACCAGGTTAAAGTTCTTCTGTAGATAGGCACAGTTCCAACCTACTTAGGCTTGCAAGACCCAGTATGTAGATTATTCGCATTTTCTATGGCACTCTGCTCTAACAAAAAAAATTGAAAGGCAGACTTTGAATTATTCAGAATAAATATTGAGATTCATCATAGACCCAGGTACAGGATGAAATACTTAATACTGAAGATAGAGTAAGGCAGCTTGAAGCTGAATCATGTTTACAAAATTACTCACAGTCAGTGTTCAGAATATCTTGCTGTGAATTTTGTCCAAGTTAGGAACCAATGCCAGTATGGTACTAGGGAAAGTGAACACAATTTTATAGTACCTACAGTAGGTGGCCAGGCCTCAAACACCTATTACACAATAAATGAGTTGCCAGACCATGTCAAGGCTAGCCTTAGCATAAGTCAATTTAGGAAAAGAGTGAAACAGTACCTAATGAAGGAAGCTACAAATGGAGGAAAGTGATTTCTTGTGTAGTTGACACTCGTTTAGCTGTTACAATAAGCTTCTTGATGTTCATGTAATTTATTTAGTTTTTTATTCCTATTTTGTTTTATTTTATTGTAAATTAATTTCATGCATTTAATATACTCAGAACAGATTTTTACTGCATCTAATAGCAGTTAGTCTGCTACTAGTCAGATATTACTTTTTCTTTGGGGAAGGTGGGATATACTAGATAATTTGCATGTTACTGTGTAAGATAATTGTAAACACTCAAAATTTGTGCATAGTATATACTTGTGTAAATTGTAACCAAAACTAACTACACTCTAATGTCTGATTCTTTTGAAAAGTAGCTGGAGAAGCAGCAGTAGTAAATATGTGCACACAGGTACTTGTCTAGGTAGGAGGTTGGTCAACAGCAACCACCCAGGGAGGTACTACCGTCCTGCCAGTTGAATGTAAAACGGAAGCCTGTAATTGTTTTACATGATGGTAGGATTGCTGGTGTCTCTTTTTTTCCATCTCATAAACACTTAAGATTTCAGGTAGGCCTTGTTACTTCTACTTACACTTCTTGCTAGTTCTTGTTCTTGTTTATTTCCTCATATCTCCATGGGGAAGTGGAACAGAATTCTTCCTCCGTAAGCCATGCATGTCATAAGAGGCAACTAAAATGCCTAGAGCAAGGGGCTAGTAACTCCTCCTCCTGTATACATTACTAAAGTTAAAAAGAGAAACTTTTGTTTTTCTTTTTGGGCTACCCTGCCTTGGTGGGATACGGCTGGTGTGTTGAAAGAAGAAGGTACTTATCAGTGCTCATGTAATTTTTACCCAAATTATTATCCAGGTAGTGCTAAAACTGTTGGGGCTATGTAATTCCTAGGCAATGGGAGGTAAGTACATTTGATCCAAGAAAATTAATTCAGTTTCTTGCATCAAAAGCTTTTCACTAGCATTAAGGCACTTAATCTTGAAGGGGATTTCTTGTAAAGCTCTTAGAGTATGAAAAGTACATTTTTTATTTCTTTTAATTTACAGTCGCTAGCCGAGGATGATATCCGCAATATTCGCTTTTTGGTGGCGCCCAGACAAACAAATGAACGTTGGGCAATCAACCTGATAAAGGAAGTACCCCCTAAGGCAGTAAAATCCCGTGTTGTGGCCTGTGATGGCGGCCCTGGAGGACTAGGTCACCCAAGGGTTTATATTAATTTAGTAAGTACATACTGTATTTTACTCAACTCAACAGGTAGTGTGTTACAAAAATGCGATGTCTAATAAGCATAGAGATCTCCAGTGAATACTAGAAAGGACTGCCCTTCTAGCATCCAGCCTGTTACTGGGTTTTTGTAACAAGTAGTCAGTATCCTGGTCCAATTATTCATTAGAACTTAGTAAGATTCAATAGTGCTTCAGGATTACAACTGGTAGGCTACTAACTAAAGAAATTAAAATTTAATAAGTTTATTAATAACAATAAAGTTGTCTAGGCATATAAGATCAAAGTAAATTATAGTAATCAATTGAATATAATATAGGATACAAGTTCCTACGCTTCTCTCGTGTACAGTAGTATTGAGCTGAAGGCTCATATCACATCTTTATGGCTTTTAAGTACCATCTGGTACATTGTTAGCATTTAATAACATCATACATATATATACAAGTTTGTGAGTAAGTGTGTACGTGCTCTAAGTAGTTCGCTATGTCTCAAGACTTGACTAGACTTAACCAGTGACTGACTAAAAGTCCTCACATAAACTAACTTCTTGACCAACCTGGCAATCAGAACAGCTTGCTTGAACAATAAAGTGACTGTTAAGCCGAACAGCAATATAATAAGCAACAGCGACACAGAATCAAGAACAAGGAGATAATATAACGACACTAAGTAGGGACCATCTGCAGATCCTCCACAAAAGTCACAAAACTCCCATACTACTGAATCTAAGTTCAGCATTAGAAAAGCCCTGACTGTGACAGTGCACAGATACCAGTACAAATTAGGTCAGAAGCTACAGCTCAGGACCAGAGTTTCTCAGAGTGTCTATGAGACACACAACCTCAGTACAACGTCGAAAATCACTAAGTCAAGGCTATGTTCTGTGAACAGAGTTACACAGAACCAACAACAAGAAAGCGACAGAGATGATCTTCCAACAAGGGCCATCAATGGAGAGCTGGAGAGGCCCGTCTTGTTAGAAGAACGTCAAACAGACAATCCCTATTGCAGGCCAGGCATACTCTCACTCCTGGTGAGGTGTGTTCACCCCACCCTGATCACGTGACTCTCCGTGGACTGCTGCTGCCCAGCAACTACAGAGAAGCCAGCAGGGAAACAAGTGGAGTGAAAGTTAGACAATGCTGTCAGCTACTTAACACTCGAACTATGAGCACTGAATAATTTTTTTTTTTATTATCACACTGGCCGATTCCCACCAAGGCAGGGTGGCCCAAAAAAGAGAAACTTTCGCCATCATTCACTCCATCATTGTCTTGCCAAAAGGGTGCTTTACACTACAGTTTTTAAACTACAACATTAACATCCCTCCTTCAGAGTGCAGGCACTGTACTTCCCATCTCCAGGACTCAAGTCCGGCCTGCCGGTTTCCCCGAACCCCTTCATAAATGTTACTTTGCTCACACTCCAACAGCAAGTCAAGTATTAAAAACTATTTGTCTCCATTCACTCCTATCAAACACGCTCACGCATGCCTGCTGGAAGTCCAAGCCCCTCGCACACAAAACCTCCTTTACCCCCTCCCTCCAACCTTTCCTAGGCCGACCCCTACCCCACCTTCCTTCCACTACAGACTGATACACTCTTGAAGTCATTCTGTTTTGCTCCATTTTCTCTACATGTCTGAACCACCTCAACAACCCTTTCTCAGCCCTCTGGACAACAGTTTTGGTAATTCCGCACCTCCTCCTAACTTCCAAACTACAAATTCTCTGCATTATATTCACACCACACATTGCCCTCAGACATGAAATCTCCACTGCCTCCAGCCTTCTCCTCGCTGCAACATTCATCACCCATGCTTCACACCCGTATAAGAGCGTTGGTAAAACTATACTCTCATACATTCCCCTCTTTGCCTCCAAGGACAAAGTTCTTTGTCTCCACAGACTCCTAAGTGCACCACTCACCCTTTTCCCCTCATCAATTCTATGATTCACCTCATCTTTCATAGACCCATCCGCTGACACGTCCACTCCCAAATATCTGAATACATTCACCTCCTCCATACTCTCTCCCTCCAATCTGATATCCAATCTTTCATCACCTAGTCTTTTTGTTATCCTCATAACCTTACTCTTTCCTGTATTCACTTTTAATTTTCTTCTTTTACATACCCTACCAAGTTCATCCACCAATCTCTGCAACTTCTCTTCAGAATCTCCCAAGAGCACAGTGTCATCAGCAAAGAGCAACTGTGACAACTCCCACTTTATGTGTGATTCTTTATCTTTTAACTCCACGCCTCTTGCCAAGACCCTCGCATTTACTTCTCTTACAACCCCATCTATAAATATATTAAACAACCACGGTGACATCACACATCCTTGTCTAAGGCCTACTTTTACTGGGAAATAATTTCCCTCTTTCCTACATACTCTAACTTGAGCCTCACTATCCTCGTAAAAACTCTTCACTGCTTTCAGTAACCTACCTCGTATACCATACACCTGCAACATCTGCCACATTGCCCCCCTATCCACCCTGTCATATGCTTTTTCCGAATCCATAAATGCCACAAAGACCTCTTTAGCCTTATCTAAATACTGTTCACTTATATGTTTCACTGTAAACACCTGGTCCACACACCCCCTACCTTTCCTAAAGCCTAATATATACATGTAAATGTTACATTCTACCTAATAATATAACTAAGTCAAGTAATAATATAAAGCAATATGTTATAATATAAAGCAATAGTGTATAAACAAATAATTATGGTAAACTAGAAATGATTGAGGCCTTTCTTCTCTCTTGATTATTTCCATTTATGTGCAGAATGAATATTCTGTGGAATTTAAATCCGCAGTACCTTAGGAGCTCAGTTCTGCAAAAAAAAAATCTGGAATTTTTGTGTTTAGTTTGTCCTATTTATATCTCCTTTGATTCCAAAATTATACCTTTGTCTTATTTTGTTGAAAATAAGAAAGTTTTGGAGTTAGATTAACAAGTTAAGGAAGTCTAGAGAACAAATGGATTTGTCAGTTCAAAATAGGAGAGGAGAGTTATTAAATGGAGAGTTAGAGGTGTTGGGAAGATGGAGGGAATATTTTGAGGAATTGTTAAATGTTGATGAAGATAGGGAAGCTGTGATTTTGTGTATAGGGCAAGGAGGAATAACATCTTGTAGGAGTGAGGAAGAGCCAGTTGTGAGTGTGGGGGAAGTTCATGAGGCAGTAGGTAAAACAAAAGGGGATAAAGCAGCTGGAATTGATGGGATAAAGATAGAAATGTTAAAAGCAGGTGGGGATATAATTTTGGAGTGGTTGGTGCTATTGTTTAATAAATGTATGGAAGATGGTAAGGTACCTGGGGATTGGCAGAGAGCATGCATAGTTCCTTTGTATAAAGGCAAAGGGGACAAAAGAGAGTGCAAAAATTTTAAGGGGGATAAGTCTGTTGAGTATACCTGGTAAAGTGTATGGTAGAGTTATTATTGAAAGAATTAAGAGTAAGATGGAGAATAGGATAGCAGATGTACAAGGAGGCTTTAGGAAAGGTACGGGGTTTGTGGACTAGGTGTTTACAGTGAAACATAAGTGAACAGTATTTAGATAAGGCTAAAGAGGTTTTTATGGCATTTATGGATTTGGAAAAGGCGTATGACAGGGTGGATAGGGGGGCAATGTGGCAGATGTTGCAGGTGTATGGTGTAGAAGGTAGGTTACTGAAAGAAGTGAAGAGTTTTTACGAGGATAGTGAGGCTCAAGTTAGAGTATGTAGGAAAGAGGGAGATTATTTCCCAGTAAAAGTAGGCCTTAGACAAGCATGTGTGATGTCACCGTGGTTGTTTAACCCGTAAACGGTCTAAACGTATATATACGTTTTTTGAACATTTGAAAATGTGTAAAAAAACTTTGATATACTTTTTTTTTTTTTTTTGTTATATTTGAAAATATGTAAAAAAAAAAATGTAGATCTACTTTTGGAGCACTACACATGTGAATGTAGATCTGCTTGGACTGTTTACGGGTTAATATATATATAGATGGAGTTGTAAGAGAAGTAAATGTGAGGGTCTTGGCAAGAGGCGTGGAATTAAAAGATAAAGAATCACACATAAAGTGGGAGTTGTCACAGTTGCTCTTTGCTGATGACACTGTGCTCTTGGGAGCTTCTGAAGAGAAGTTGCAGAGATTGGTGGATGAATTTGGTAGGGTATGTAAAAGAAGAAAATTAAAAGTGAATACAGGAAAGAGTAAGGTTATGAGGATAACAAAAAGATTAGGTGATGAAAGATTGGATATCAGATTGGAGGGAGAGAGTATGGAGGAGGTGAATGTATTTAGATATTTGGGAGTGGACGTGTCAGCGGATGGGTCTATGAAAGATGGGGTGAATCATAGAATTGATGAGGGGAAAAGGGTGAGCGGTGCACTTGGGAGTCTGTGGAGACAAAGAACTTTGTCCTTGAAGGCAAAGAGGGGAATGTATGAGAGTATAGTTTTACCAACGCTCTTATATGGGTGTGAAGCATGGGTGATGAATGTTGCAGCGAGGAGAAGGCTGGAGGCAGTGGAGATGTCATGTCTGAGGGCAATGTGTGGTGTGAATATAATGCAGAGAATTTGTAGTTTGGAAGTTAGGAGGAGGAGGTGCGGGATTACCAAAACTGTTGTCCAGAGGGCTGAGGAAGGGTTGTTGAGGTGGTTCGGACATGTAGAGAGACTGGGGCGAAACAGAATGACTTCAAGAGTGTATCAGTCTGTAGCGGAAGGCAGGGTATTGGTCGGCCTAGGAAAGGTTGGAGGGAGGGGGTAAAGGAGGTTTTGTGTGCGAGGGGCTTGGACTTCCAGCAGGCATGCGTGAGCGTGTTTGATGGGACTGAATGGAGACAAATGATTTTTAATGCTTGATGTGCTGTTGGAGTGTGAGCAAAGTAACATTTATGAAGGGATTCAGGGAAACCGCCAGGCCGGACTTGAGTCCTGGAGATGGGAAGTACAGTGCCTGCACTCTGAAGGAGGGGTGTTAA